TTAGTTTCAGATGTTAAAACCTGTATTTTTGACCCTTAGCTAATTATGATAGCATGCTATATATTGTTGTTAAATGATTTTTGGAAATAAAGTTTAATGGTTGATTATCATCTTGTAATGACATAGGCTGTTGGCAAAGTGTTGCCAGCATTGAATGGCAAGCTGACTGGAATGGCTTTCCGTGTTCCCACTGTCGATGTCTCAGTGGTTGACCTCACTGTGAGGCTTGAGAAGAAGGCTTCTTACGAGGATATCAAGGCTGCTATCAAGTAAAGTTTAAGAATATTGATCTTATAGTGCTGTATTTAATATAAAGATGCATGTGTTATGTATTGACACGGTGGATCTTTTCGTGTAGGGAGGCATCAGAGACCACAATGAAGGGAATTCTTGGTTACGTAGATGAAGATTTGGTCTCAACCGACTTTGTTGGAGACAGCAGGTGTGATGCCGCATTCTTCCAATAATAGGTTCTTTAATGTTGATGGTTTTGCTTGCTTGTGCCTCAGTTTTGTATTGGCCGACTATTTAAACAGGGAAATTGTAGACTTTGTGATGCAATGTTGTGATTTCTTTAAACAGGTCGAGCATCTTTGATGCCAAGGCAGGAATTGCTTTGAATGACAATTTTACTAAGCTTGTTGCCTGGTATGACAATGAGTGGGGTTACAGGTAAATTACATATATCCTTCACTTACGTCTGATAGTGCGTTGTAGTAAACAGAGTTTCTCGTTGGTGGATTTTTTGTCTGGTGACATTCTTTTGCTGCCGCAGTTCTCGAGTGGTCGACCTTATTCGACACATGGCTTCATGCTAAGTGGACGAAGCTTTAGCCTCTTCAGCCTTGGCAAGCTATCTAGATAGAACTAGAGGAGATATGCATGTTGCTGATGGGCATGCGAATAGTAGATTTGTACGGATAAAAAAGGATACATCTTTTGTTTTAGTGTGAACCCTTATTTTGCATCCCGGGGAGTGTCTGTTCGACTCCCTTCCATGTTATGTCACAAGTATTAATAATAATTTCAAGGTCAATTGAAAAACTAATAATAAAAACATGTCATAAATCCATATAAATATGATAGGAAATTATATGGTAAGCATAAAAAAAGTTATCGCGCGGTATAAAACAATTGTAAGAGCTATACTGCACTGCGCTTATTCCGCCATATAGCACTTGTATGTACATGCATCTCGATGATACTGTCATGTCTGATGTCGGACGGATAATATGATAGATGAATAAAATAAGATAGAAAATTCATGGTAATATTGATTTGTTCTATATTAATTTTTTGAGGTTTCTTTTATGTAATTACTGTTATTTTTTTTATCAGTTCTCTTACGTATAATAGCGTGATAATTGTGCATTATGTTTCTATCGACTATTAGTTGTTTTCAGCGTTCACATGGAAACACAGAAAGAGAAATCTAAAGTGTCGCGTCTCTCTAACAGCAAATTGATTCTTTATTATTTGAATTCTCAAACTATACTTTTATAATTAAATTTGAATAGAATAAAACGTGGACAGGTGTATTTGTGATGCAACCACTGGTAAAAGTCCAAGTTGGAGTACAGTAATTTATTACAAGGTCCACAACAAAAGATGTCACGTCCTTGAATCATACGATATTCTTAATTAAATCATACGCGACGATTGGAACTATAAGTTTAACCGTTGAATTGAATATTCATTCCTATCTTATCATTAATCGGTAATAATTCCTCACTTTTCATTGTTTATTAATTAGGAGTGCAGTTTCGGCCTTGAACCATGAGCCAATTAATTCAATGAGATGTTAGGATAATAGTAATAGGATGTTAACTAGGATCTCAATAAAAGAAATTGAAACTTGATCATTTGACAGGTGTTAACATCTCATTGAAAAGGATGACATAATATTTATTTATTCTTTCATTTGGCAAAGCTTGAGGTTTGACCAAAAATTGGATCACTCACCCACGTCTCTTTGAGAATGAATTCAATGTCTAAAAGTCCATGGCAAGCCGAAAACAGGTTCACATGGATCGAATTAAGGTGGAATTTCAATTAAAACAAAATATATATGACAGATTTTAATTATTATTAATTCATCATACGAGGACAAAATCTATCGTTATAATGAAGATCAGCTGTTAGATTTAAGGAATCTTCCCATACGTCAAAGGGTTATAACTATTATATAATAGGATAAACTACAAGTTTAGTATCTAAACTATAATTTTGTTCAATTTTGATACCTAAATTCTTATTTTTTAAAGTCATACTTAACGGTGAGTTTATGTTTCAATTTAGTATCCTACCATTAAAAATTTAACATAACTGATATTTCTTTTAATTTTTTAATGATGATGCAGCATTACCTTATGATGACATGTCAACATTACTGTTAAATTTTTAACAGCGATATATCAAAACGAAACATAAAATAAACATTAAGTATGATTTTGAAACAAAATAAAGTTTGGGTACCAAAACATAACAAAAGTAATAGTTTAAGTATTAAATATGTAGTTTACCTTATATAATAATATTAAGGGTTAATAGCACCAGGGGGCGAAACTAGGAATTTATTATAGCGCGAGTTGAGGGACACCAAAATAATACGATATTAATAGTTTTAGATTGATATAAGATATTTTAGAGTTGAGGGACTAATTTATGATGAGGGTCATAGTTTGAGGATTTAAATAAAATGTTTTTAAGTTTATAACTAATTTATAATTAGGGTTATAAGATGAGGACATCCTATGTAATTAACTCTAATATCGAATTATTTTGGTAATAAAAACCAAATCATGTGAAGTATCAATTATCGTGCCACAATTAAAGAGTTAATTGTCTATAATTTACAAATTATTATTTCCAAGTACTTTTTTTTTAGGTTAAGATTTTCAGTCCGTGTAATTTTTCAAAATGCAACTCGGGATAGGAAATTATAATTATCTTGGACGATAACTTCATAGTTCCGTATGGAAATAAAATTTCTTTATTTTCACAAATGAAATTAATTTATAATAAATAAATAAAATAACAATTCTAACAGCTTGCAAAGTTGGAAAAAAAATACCCCACTAATGTCCCAAAATAATAATTCCATTAGAACTAATTTGATTTTTACACATTCTAATTAAAACTGGGAAAGTCTTAGCATTTTCTTTATCTGTTTAGCTATTCATATGAAGTCTTAATACCTACTATAATAATACAATTATTTCTATAATTAACTAATTTTCTATCTTTGCAAACATATATTTTCGACATATTCCTGTGTTCATGTTATATTTATATTATTTTCTATTTTTAATCTTAAATTGTTGTTCTTCATCATCTTTGTTCTTCCATCTTGAATAAATTTAATAATTTCACTCTATTTTACTTGTTATTATAATCTTTAGATTGCTAAAATTTCATATAAATTTATGACATGTTTGTGTATTGTGTTTATGTTTTGTCGCGTATTATTATTTTTTATATAATTTATTATGACGTGAATTTCAAAATCTAAAAAACTTTAAACCTTAAAAAATGAAGAAAACCTAATTTTAATGTAAGGAATAAAAATATAATTTTTATTATATTATATTTAATTAATTTGTGGCTAACAACAATCATACTTAAAAAAAACATCACGTCTTTATCATATATCGTATATAATAAAACACGAATAATGAAGAAATAAACAACGTGGATGTCTCAACCATAAGCTAAATATGTAGAATCTAGTTTAACCCACAACAAAATTTTCCTACACTGAAAAGGTAATAAAATAAAGCAATAAAACTCTTCAATTTAAAATAAAAAATTAGACAACATATTTCTAATTACAAATAGTAAACTATATAGGTAGTCTTAAAATTTTGGAGTACTTTTACTTTGATAAACTAAACTTTTAAAGCTTCCGTTACAATCACTAAATTTTAAATTTGATTTCATTATAATTACCGTCGTTACGAAAAGCTAATGTGTCATGTTAAAGTCTTCTTCTCAAAAAATATCATAAGGTTTCAAATTGACTGTCTTGAAAATGTTAAGTTTCCAATGAAAGGAGCAATTGTCAATTAATTTTAACAATAGGAATGGTATGTTGACCATAAGGTTAACGTAGTTTGTTTCAAGTTAATCTAATAATTAACAATGGTGGATCGAAAAGTTTTAATTGTTAGTTTCAATTAGATTTGAGGAGATCGGGAGATTTTCAGAAGAGATTGAATCGAATGAAACAAAGAGAAAAAAAATGAGTAGTTTGATGACATTTTCGATTGAAAAAATCATTGAACAAAGACAAAGAGGATGGCAAAATGAGGTGACAATTCAATAGAAACTAAGAGCTACAACTTTTCGACCCATTATTGTTATCCATCAAATCAATTTGAAACTAAACTATGATAACCACTCCATTCATAAAAAAAAAAGCCTTTGCAGATAATCAAATTGAAAAATAAATGTTTTTTTAAAGAAAGAATATTTTAACATATAACGTCAGTTTTTCTTAACAGAAGTGACCTTAATGAGAATGAATTAAAAGTTTAGAGATTCTAATGCAAGTTTTAAAAATCCAGTGAACAAATTAAGAGTGTCTTAAATTTAAGGGACTAACAAAGTAATTTACTCTAAAAATAAAACTCTTTTAACTAATAGTTTTATAATCTCTTTATATTGTTTTAAAAAAAGACTTATTTTATATTATGCTCAACAGATATTAAATAATTTATGTTAACCCCAAAAATGATAATTAATATGATTTTTTTTCTGGACTATCTGTATGAAAGTATTAATTTCACGATATAATAAAATTATTAATGAAATATAATTACAAAGTACTGTTTGGTTCGTCGACTTTAGTCCCAATTTTTTTGGGTCATCAGAAATGGTTTAATTACATAAAGTGAAACAAAAAAACATGAAACCCGTCAGCATCAACAACGGGTGAGGCCCTGTTCTTTTTCTCATTTCCTTTAATGTAGGATCCTTTAGCCTTTATAAGAACCAACCCAGCATAGTTTTGATCTGTCTTCCAACTCTTCAGCTTCCATTTTCTAACTTTCGATTACAACCTTTCGTTCCTCTCTGCTCTTTTTGATCAGTTTCAGACGTCATGGGAACTCATCAACCACCTCCTTCTGCCAATGGTGATTATGCCCCCAACAACACTGTAAGTTCTTTTATTTTACATTACATTTGTGCATGCAAAAGTACATCTTTGTCTTGTTCCTTTACGATGTATTTGTCTGTTCTTTAGTGCTTTCGATCCAAAATTTGTTCTTGAATACCATTTAGTTTTTTTTAAAACGGAAATGAATTTTCCAGCCGTTTCGTTTTTAACAAAAGCTTCATCTTTATTATCCTGTATCTGTTTGATTTAGTTTTCTGTATATATAGCTTCAAAAATCTTTTAACTTTGATCAAAACATAATTTTTGGATGGAGAAAACAACGATGGGAGAGTTCTATCCCGGTTTAAAGTTCAACCCGGTTCAACACCGGATATAATCCGGGCCATGTAAGTCGTAGACAGAAAATATATTAGCAGTCACTTATAATAATAACTCGAAAAATGGAAAAAATCATGTGCTCCTGGTTCAATGGACTATTCTTCTTGTATTTTTAGTCAACATACATGGCTTGATATATATGGATAATGTTCATGAGAAAAGTCAGTACTTTATACTTCATACGTTCAACTGACGAAACACCAAGCCTTATTTTCAACGACGACTGTTGAAAAATACACCATTTTTGTGGACAGAACTGAAACTATTGTTTTATACGGAAACTGCAGATATTATTTTACAGTAATCCTTTTTCATTGGCTGTTGCTGTTAGTCAATAGTTCTATAAGTCAATTACTTTTGTTTTTTTATTATTGTTTCAATCAAAAGATCTCCACGTCGAACTAATTGCTATCAACCAACTTGTTAGAAAAATGTGCTCTAAAAGTCAAGCTTAACTTTTTATAATTATATGGCAATTTATATTTTATAGAACTGTTCACATGTAAGCACATGGTCAGTTTTGTAATATAATTCTTTCAGACCAGACAAAAGCTTTTTTTCTTTTCTTATTCTTGGAGTAGGACAGCTCTATGTGTGTGTGTATTCATGCATGTATGTATGTACGTATGAATTTGTTGCTGTCAAGCTTAAAGGAGAATTGTGTACCATTTGTGAATCACAGGTACAAGAAAAATCAGAGAAGCAGAAAGCAATTGATGATTGGCTACCTATTAACTCATCAAGAAGTAGAAAATGGTGGTTTTCAGCTTTCCACAATGTCACTGCTATGGTTGGAGCTGGTGTGCTCAGTCTTCCCTATGCCATGGCCGAGCTTGGATGGTATGTTACGACACTTCAACGTAAAAGGAATATGGAAATTGAATTCGATAGACTTATCTCTCGTTTTCGTTTGGTTTTCAGGGGTCCTGGTGTGTTTATCATGGTCTTCTCGTGGATCATTACCTTGTATACTCTATGGCAAATGGTCGAGATGCATGAGCTTGTTCCCGGGAAACGTTTCGATCGGTACCATGAACTGGGACAATATGCCTTTGGCGAAAAACTCGGTCTCTACATTGTGGTGCCACAACAACTTATTGTGGAAGTTAGTCTCTGCATTGTTTACATGGTTACCGGCGGCCAATCGTTGAAGAAGTTCCACGACACTGTCTGTCCTAGCTGCAAACAGATTAAGCTGACCTATTTCATCATGATTTTTGCCTCTGTTGAATTTGTGCTGTCTCACCTTCCTAATTTTGACTCGATTTCTGGTGTTTCCTTGGCTGCTGCTGTCATGTCCTTGAGGTATATAACAAATTCACAATTCACATCCTTTGTTGTGCCTAATTGATAAATGTTAACTCAAGCTTTGGTGATTGTTTTTTTTCACACAGTTACTCGACCATCGCTTGGGCAGCTTCACTATCTAAGGGTGTTCAGGATGATGTGCAATATGGCTACAAAGCGTCGACTACGCCCGGAACTGTGTTTGGCTTTCTCAGTGGCTTGGGAGATATAGCTTTTGCTTACTCTGGCCACAATGTGGTGTTGGAGATCCAAGCTACGATCGAATCTACTCCCGAGAGGCCATCGAAGGGACCGATGTGGAAAGGTGTCGTCGTCGCATACATAGTCATTGCCTTGTGCTACTTCCCAGTTGCCTTAATCGGATATTGGATGTTTGGCAATTCTGTCCGAGACAACATCCTCCTCTCATTGGAGAAACCAGCATGGCTCATTGCAATGGCCAACATGTTTGTTGTTGTTCATGTTATCGGAAGCTACCAGGTTCATATCACGTGGTGTTTCTTATTATCTTCTTGTTTCAGATTTAACCAATTATGCTTCGGTTTATGTTCTGTCTCTATAGGTCTATGCAATGCCAGTGTTCGACATGATCGAAACTCTGCTAGTAAAGAAACTAGACTTCGCGCCTTCCCAAATGCTCCGATTCATTGTTCGCAATTCTTATGTTGGTAAGTAAAATCAAAACTCTTTGTTTCTTTCAACCTACTTGAATATAAGTTCATGCATCACATATTTTCATTGCAGCAATAACAATGTTCTTCGGGATTACTTTCCCGTTCTTCGGTGGTCTTCTCGGTTTCTTCGGAGGACTCGCGTTTGCACCAACAACATACTTCGTAAGCCACATTATCATCACAAAAACTAACAATTCTCTTCGAAGAATTTTCACATCACGAACTAATTTCTTTCTCGTTCTTCAGCTCCCCTGTATCATGTGGCTTGTCATCTATAAACCAAAAAAATTCGGCTTGTCTTGGTGGGCTAACTGGGTAAGAAAACTTGATTCAAAGCTTATTAACCTTATTTTTTCCTTGTTTAGTTGATCTTATTTGGGTTTCCTTTTTCTTTTCCCCCTCAGATCTGCATCGTAATTGGTGTTCTATTGATGGTCCTATCACCTATTGGAGGATTGAGGCAAATCATAATTCAAGCCAAAGACTACAAATTTTACTCTTGAATCGTTGCCTTCAGACAATTCATTGGGTTTTATAGTATTTGTTTGCAGAATATAAACCCCAATTATTAGGGTCATTAAGAGTAGTTTTAATCCGTAAATTCTGCATTTGAGAAACGTTTCAGCTTTTAAGCATTACGTGTACAAAATATATCAACATCAATAAAATGCAAATTTCAAGGTTTATGTTGTTTTAAGGCCGGCCTCGGATTTGAGTGTTGAATGAGTATGCTCGATTTATGTATTCGTAGGATCTTATTTGTACGCGCAAATGACAAATTTTACTGGGGCTATCATGTGCCTAGCCTGCAACAATACGAAGAGAATCAACCATCTATTCCCTTTCATAGTAACTCATTATTAGGAAAAAAAATGCAAAAATGTCAATAAGTGAGGTAATATATTCATCAAATCGGATAAGGAAACTGCTAGACTCAAATGTTGTTATCTATGGACCTACTTTGAATTACCAAGTTGTATTATTGTAATTGATGCAAATGCTCTATTCGGCAATAATTTCTTTTACGCTTCAAATCATTCGCCAGAAAAGCTGGAAAAACTGTCAATGGTGCATATTCATTACACGTTTTAATATTCACATGAAGACATTTAACATAGAATATTTTACGTTTGCAGAACAGTGACATCTAGAAATGGATGAACACATTCGAATGTAAACAAAACATCAGAATCAAAAGCTGTCTGTTGCAGTGTTTTTTACGAGTATTTTTTACGAATTTTTCTTGGCGGAGTTTGCTTTACCTTTATTGTCGTTTTCATGATTCACCTTCTTTGAAACTATCAATCAAATATATATTTCTTTGTTGAATGCTTCATATGTTGAAAAGTCAAGCAACTTTCAGTGGAAATTGTTGGTCAAAACTTTCGGTGCAAATGATTGATAATTGACAGCAAGTTGGTTGAAAAGTGATATGAGGTAATTGAATATTTAGTCCCTGTAATTTAGGATATTACAAGATTAGTCAATAAACTTCAACTATAAATACTCTAACTCATTTAGCTTCAAAATCATCCAAATCATTTCAGTTTCTCCCAATACTAGAGAATTTAGAGAGTTTTCTTTAGAGTTGTTTTCTCCTTTTTATCAAGAGAGAATTGTTATTGTTTTCTCATTGTTAGATCGAGAGAAGTTGTAATTCCTATTTTCTCATAGTGAAATTCTTCTATCTTTGCCCGTGATTTTTACTCTATATTATTTAGGGGTTTTCCACGTAAAATTTGTCTTCTTTATCTTCATTTTTATTTTCTCAAATTATTAGTTGTGATTTTACTTTATCCGATAGCTGTATTCCACAACAATTGGTATCAGAGCCAAATTTGAGTGTATAATATATACTTATTGTCTTTGTGGTTGCTACCAAAAAGTGGATCCTCCAACATAAAAAAGTAAGAATTTATTACACATTCTTAGAAGGTTCTAGAGAACTATTCACGATAGTGAAATAGTAGGAGCTATCCATAATAGAAGCTATGGAAACGAAATTTGATATTGAAAAGTTCAATGAGAGAAATTTCTCATTGTGGAAATTGAAGATGAAGGCCATCCTGAGAAAAGACAGTGGTCTAGCAGCTATTAGTGAAAGGCCGATAGATTTAATAGATGACAACAAATGGATCGAAATGGACGAGAATGCTATGACAAACTTTCATCTAGTATTAGCATATAAAGTATTGTCAAGCGTCGAAGAGAAGAAGACAACTAAGGAGATATGAGATCATCTCACTAAACTGTACGAGGCCACATCATTACACAATAAAATTTTCTTTAAGAGGAAATTGTACACTCTCCGTATGTCAGAATCTACTTTAGTGACGGAGCACTTAAACACATTGAACACTTTATTTTCTTAGCTTACATCTTTAAGATGTACAATAGGAGAACAATAACGTGCTGAACTTCTACTTTAAAGTCTACCTGATTTGTATGATCAACTTATCATCAACTTGACAAACAGTAATGTCACCAGTCTAGTATTCGATAACGTTGCAACTGCTGTTCTACAAGAAAAAAATCGGTGCAAGAACAAGAAATACATACAAGTAAATCTGTAACAAGCAGAAGCGTTGACAACGATGAGAGAGAGATAATAGAACGTGGCCAAAGCAATATTCACAAACATGGTAGATCAAAAGTGCTACAACTGTGGAAAGAAGGGTCACTTGAAGAAGGATTGTTGAAGTCTAGGTAAAAACTTCAATCCACAAGGCAATACCGCAAACATTTCAGATGATGGAGATGTTCTATGTTGTGAAGTGTCAACCACCGTGGAAGGTAGAAATAGAACATATATATGACTCATTGATTCGGAAGCAACATATCACATGACCTCAAGAAGAGAATGGTTTCATCATTATGAACATGTCTTAGGAGGATCTGTGTTAGTTGCAATGATCATGCCTTAGAGATCGTTGGCGTGGGAACCATCAAATTGAAGATGTATGATGAGACAATTAAAGTTGTTCTAGATGTACGGCACGTGAAAGGGCTGAAGAAAAATTTATTATCTTACGGATTATTAGATAATAATGCAAGCAAGATTGAAACACGGAAAGGAATCATGAAGGTGTTCCGTAGAGCGCTTGTGGTGATGAAAGGCGAAAAGATAGCAGCAAACTTGTACATGTTGAAGGGAGAGACTTTGCTATAAGCAGAAGCATCTGTTGCCTCATGTAGTTCAGATTCTGTAATGCTATGAAATCAGAAACTTGGACACATGTCAGAATAAGAAATGAAAGTCTTTGTGGAGGAAAAGTTACTTCTAGGCTTAACAAAAGTATCACTTACTTTGTGTGAGCATTGCATAACAAGTAAGCAGCACCGATTAAAATTCAACACGTCAAATTCTAGAGGTAAAAGTGTTCTAGAATTGGCTCATTCTGACGTATGACAAGCACGAGTTACATCCCTAGGATGAGCAAAATACTTTGTCTCATTTATTGATGACTACTCCAGGAGATGTTGGGTATACCCTATTAAGAAGAAGTTAGACGTGTTTTTAATTTTCAAAAACTTCAAAGCGCGGGTGGAACTTGATTCTGAAATAAGATCAAGTGTTTCAGAATAGATAATGGAGGAGAATACACAATGAATATTTGATGACTTTTGCAGGAAAGAATGCATCAAAAGACAGTTCACAGTGGCGAACACTCCTCAACAAAATGGAGTGGCAGAGATGTGGACTCGTAAACCAGCTGATTATTCAAACTTCCATGTATTTGGAAGTATTGTGTACGTGATGTACAACTCCCAAGAAATTTCAAAGTTGAATCCAAAATCCAAGAAATGCAAATTCTTGGGGTATGATGATAGAGTACAGGGGTATCGTTTGTGGCATCCCACTGCCCGCAAAATGATCATCAGCAGGGATGTTACCTTTGTAGAAGATAAACTACAAAGAAAAGAAGACGATGATAGCGCTGAAAAGTCAGAGACTACACAGATACATGGAAAGGAGTTTGAACAAGAAGATTATTCTGAAGCAGAACCAATACATGATGAACAAGAACCAGAGAGTTCTGAAGCTCCAACAACTTGTCTATCATATCGTGTGAAAAGACGTCCCAATTGGCACTCAGATTTTGTTATAAAAGGAAATATTTCATACTGCCTTTTAACAGAGGACAGTGAGCCATCAACATTCTAGAAGGTAATAAAAAACTCAGATGCTTCACTGTGGATGATGGCGATGCAAGAAAAATCGAAACCCTTCATAAAAATAATACATGAGACCTTGTGCCACTACCAATCAAGAAGCCAATTGGATGAGTCTTTAAAATCAAGCGAAATGGTGGTCAACTTGAAGGTATCGTGCAAGACTTGGTCAAAATATCGAGTAGTCTTGACAATGTGTGCTACATTGAATTTACATTAGAGCAGCTAGATGTTAAAAAGCTTTTCTTCATGGAGTTCTTAAAGCAGAGATTTACATGCTCCAGCCTGAAAGTTTTGAAAAAAAAAATAAAAGAAGAACTTGGTTTGCAAGTTGAACAAATCTATGTACGGTCTAAAGTAGGCGTCGAGGTGTTGGTATAAGAGATTTGATTCCTTCATTATGTGCCTTGGATACAACAGACTTAATGCAGACCCTTGTGCTTATTTTAAGAGGTTTGGTGATAACAATTTTGTTATATTGCTGTTGTATGTGGATGAAATGTTGGTTCTATGACCCAAAAAAGATCATATTGAAGAATTGAAGGCACAACTGGCTAGGGAATTTGAAATGAAGGATTTGGGATCAGCAAACAAGATTCTAGGGATGAAAATTCACCGAGACAAAAGTAATAGGAAGATTTGACTTTCACAAAAGAATTGCTTGAAGAAGATCTTGTCACGATTCAACATGCAAGATTGTAAGCAAATTTCTAACCCTCTTCCTATTAACTTCAAATTATCCTTCAGTATGAGTCTTAGCAATGCGAAAGAGAGGATGAAGATGTCTCGAGTACCGTATGCATCGACAGTGAGAAGTTTAATGTTCGTTATGATATGCACAAGACCAGACATTGCACAAGCAGTGGGAGTGGTTAGTCGGTACATGAAGAATCCAGGCAAAGAGCATTGGAATATGATAAAGAGGATTTTGAGATACATCAAAGGGACCTCAAATATTGCATTATGTTACAAAGAATCAAATTTACTTATCAATGAGTATGTTGATTCTGACTATGCAGGGGATTTGGATAAAAGCAAATCTGCTAAAGGATATGTGTTCAAAATTGTTGGTGGAGCTGTAAGTTGGGTTTCAAAATTACAGTCAGTTGTGGCTACATCCACAACAGAGGCAGAATATGTAACAGCTACACGAGGCAGAATATGTAGCAGCTACACAAGCCAGTAAAGAAGCAATCTGGTTGAAGATGCTATTGGAGGAGCTTGGACACAATCAAGAGTATGTCTCTCTGTTTTGTGATAGTCAAAACACCTTACATCTAGCAAGGAATCCAACATTTCATTTAAGGACAAAACACATACGAGTTCAATATCATTTCATTCGTGAAACGGTGGAAGAAGGGACGATAGATATGCAGAAGATCCATACCAAAGACAACATAGCAAATTTCATGACGAAGGAAATCAATGCTGATAAATTTACTTGGTGTCGATCCTCTTGTGGCCTGTGAGAGACATAAGCAACATGAATAGTACAAGGTAAAAAGAATGGT